TTATGGACTCCATTTTTTTCCTCTCAGAGTTTACACAGCCATTCATATTTATATCCAAAGAAATTGGTATGGAAAATGCCAACATCAGACTCTTGAATTCCTGAAAATGCACTTACTGACTTAAAAAAAAAAAAAAGAGTTCTTGCCACAGTAGCCAATAATCAGCAAGAGGACATAGCAAGGGCTGGAAAGTACAGCAGGGGTGGCTTTGATGGGTCTGAGGTGAGAAGTAGCTGCCCTGGGAAACAGTTGCAAAGTGTTCTGATACCAAACATTAAGTAGATGGAGTGAGATGAATGGGCCTGTTGTTATTTTGAGTTTGTCTTTCAACACAAACAATGGATGCATTAGGTAGAAATTTAACAGAAGGCCTTCTAAAGGGAAACCATCCTCTTCCCCTATCCCTGGCAGATGCCAACACTTCCAGCATGGAGGGAAAGTGTCCAAACAGATTTGATTTATTTGGTGTGTAGATATGGGGATGAAGCAGCAAAGGGAACCGAAGAGATTAAATACCAGGGAGCGAATGAGTAGAATTATCACAGCAGAAAGATCTTGGACTGTGGCTCACAAGATTTTCAGTTTTTATCAGTAAGTACTTCCACATCCAAAGGGTACAAAAATGCAACCTTTTCCACACCCACTCCAAACTGAAGATGGCACTCAGTACAGACTGAGTTACGTGTGAACTTGTTTAGGCATGAAGTTTTACATGCACAGTTTTCCTGAAGTTTTCCACTTTTCCACTCATGAGTCATGAGCATTTATATTCTTACACACAGAGCAGGCAATCTCCTTTTGAACACCTACAGGCTTCTGAGCATGGCTGTATGCTCATGTGACATTTCTGACTTCCCCAGTGCCTGTCTCTGTGCATACTTGCAGATATACTAGAGTTCAGAGGAGATGAGGCAGATAAAGCAGGACCACATCAAAGGGTAATGGAACTTAAAAGTTGAGAGTCTTACCTTGGTCTTCAAAGAGCCCAGGGGCCATGCACCAGAGGTGTCTGCTGTCCCACGCATGAGCTGAGCTCTGCTGCCATGATGGGTTTTAAGCACTGGGTTTTAGGTTGCCTGCTCTCTGAGTGAAGTTGAATATTTTGTGTCTGAGCCACTGTTTATATTCTTTCCCCCTTCTCTTTTAGGGTCTTGTATCTAAGACTTCTTACTAAGGAAATAAATACTTTGCCTAAAGTTATGAATGTTTTCTTTTGTATGTCTTCTGAATGTTTTGTATCATGTAAACATTTTAATTTTTATGTAGCCAAACCTGTCTGGTTTTGTGACTGGCTTTCTGCAGTTCAAGAAGGCTTAGCCTTGCCTACTGTGTAAACTTGTATGGAAATTTTGGGTTTTCTTTAGTCACTCCTAGAGTTCTTTTTGGTCATGACCCCTTTGGGGGTTGAACGACCGTTTCACGGGGGTCACCTAAGACCATCGGAAAACACATTTACATCATGATTCATAAAGTAGCAAAACTAACAGTTATGAAGTAACAACAAAAATAGTTTTATGACTGTGGGTCACCACAACATGAGGAACAGCATTAAAGGGTCACAGTCTCAGGAAGGTTGAGAACCACTGAACTAGATCTTAGTTTTTAATCCCTGTCCTAAGCAACTAGATCTGACTTTAGCAGGAGATAGGGAGCCAGCTTTTAAAAATATATAAATTAAGCATCTAAATATTTGCTAGTTTGTTTTCTCAGCACCATTTGTTTTTATCTATGGGTTGGGTTATTTTTGTTTGTTGAGTCAGGATCTCTCTATTTAGCCCAGGCTAGTCTGAAACTCTCTATTTAGCCCAGGCTAGTCTGAAACTTTAAATCCGCCTTTTAAGTGGTAGATTCCTAGGCGTGAGCCCCATACATTTCACTTACTGTTTTGAAATGCTTCCTCCTTTATAATCAGTCATGATATGTATTTGATATAAATAGTTAGAAAATTCTGTCCCAACAGTTTGTCCTTTTGTGCTGATAACACAGTTCCTGTCTTCAGTGCTCTTTCCCTTCTCTGTTACAGGCCATTTTCGGAACATTAGGGGCTATTCCTGCCCCTGCTCTCATGGGACCCTTACAGATACTCAGTCTAATGTAGATTTCAACTTTGAATCTGCTGCCAATTTAAAACTGTGTGAAGGTCTTCACACATACTTTTCACTCCAAAGGAAAGAGTTATGGCTCCTCGATTCTCTGTGATCCCTAGATGACCCTTCTGTCATGTTCTAGATTTTTATAGCCCTACATAACTTTTTCTTTTTGACCTCTCTTTGTCTTTTTAAGGCTTGAATCAAAGGCCTTTCCTACAGTTATTCTATGCTGTAACATTACTAGGGTTCTTTATGGAGATTTTTCTTAATATTGTTCCTTGTATCTCATTTGCTGACCACATTGTGACTTATCAGACCTGTGTCAAACATGGGAGCCCTGGGAAGTGTAACAGATGGCAGACAGCATAAAGCAGCTCATCCACTATGCCTGACTGAAGCCCACTTCGCCCAGACTGCAGGTGGTCTAGCTTCTGGCTGTGTCTCCAAACAACGCTCAGACCATAATATTTTCCTGAAAGCATTCAAATCTGTGCAGGCACAAGTCTACTGTATACTGATCATAAAAAAAGGGGGGGGGGGACAAAGAACCACTGAGTATCCAGTGAGCACAGAGAAAAGAGAGCCCAGCTGTCCCAAATCTGGCTTGGAGGCAAATGCCAGCCACAATAGATGTTAGGTGTGCATCGCAGGCCATGCTTGCTTGTCCATCACTGAGGTGGGCCATGCTCAGAAGGTCTAAATAGCTGCAGACTTTTAAAGAATCTTTCATCTTCCCCTTGACAAATGCTCTTCTATATAGCAAGCAGAGGGGCACTCAACCCCAGAGCCCACCAGAGCCTGCTCTGATCCTGGGGAAGCTGCCCGTTTCCAGCTGAGCGAATTGACAGTCCCTCAACTTGTGTCATTGTGCTGTCCTGTCACCCCCAGATCATTGCTGTTTCTAGCCATGCACTGCTTTCCTCCCCTCTGCTGTTCCAGCAATAGCTCACCATGGCTTTGTTATCTGGTATCCCCTCTTTGCAAGTGATCACTTCCATGGCTTTCCTTTTGGCCCCAGTTTAGGGAGTGCCTCTCTCGTCTATTTGTTGTATTTGTTTCCTTCCACCAGAGTTGTATAGACTACACCTCTCCTTGGGTTGGAGTCTTGTACTATCAACAATGTTTGTGATGGGGAACTGTAAAAGCTCATCCCCACATGAGTAGTGGTGCCCTGGTACTGTAGCAGCCACAAATCCCTGGACCAGGGCAGGCTCGAAATCCTTGTTGGAGTCCAAAAAGGATGCACTTATATGCATTAAAAAGCAGCAACTTCCAAACAATGAAACTGTGGCTGGGGGAATTTTGTCTGCACTGAACTTTACAGGGTGGAAGACTGCACCAAAACCTCCTTTTTAAGCTTTTATGTCTGTCTAGATGACATCCAAGCAATGTGAGAACACAAGGAGATACCAATATTTTGCTTTTATGTATTAAGATTTCTGGCACTCCATCATTTTCATCTCTTTGAAAGTGAGACATACTTCCCAGTTAGTAGGTAAAATTGCAGCTCATGCACTTTGTTTGCATGCTCATGGCCCAAGGTTCAGTCCCTAGCACATAATTATTTGGGAAACTTTGTGGTTCCAGCATGTACTTCCCATTTAGTATTCAGTTTTGTTTTGGTTTTGGTTTTTTGAGACAGGGTTTCTCTCTGTAGCTTTGGAGCCTGTCCTGGAACTTGCTCTATAGACCAGGCTGGCCTTGAATTCACAGAGATCTGCTTGCCTCTGCCTCCCAAGTGCTGGGATTAAAGGTGTGTGCTACCATTGTCTGGCTCTTGTATTCAGTTTTAATTTTATTCCCCCTAAGGAGCTTCAAGGATTCCTTCCCCAGAAGTTCACCTGCCCTGAGGCTCTTTGTGTCCTTGCTGAAGGAAACCCTCATTGCAAAGCTCCATCTGACTAAAACTGTTATGTTGACTATAACTGTTGTGTCCCAGATGATGCTGTGTTTGTTGCAAGGTAGATTAGGCACATATATGAAAAGGAAGTGATTGTCTTCCATAGCTGAGATGTAGTCTATTCCTAGAGCAAATGGAGCAGTGTTGTATGTGTTCACGTGTGTGTGTGTGTGTGTGTGTGTGTGTGTGTGTGTGCGTGGGAAGACTGAGTATTAGGGTTTAGGTATCTTCCAGTTCAAGATGGGAACCCAAAACAGTAACTTCTATAGAAATCAGAGAAAATTAATAAAATGCAAAGATTGTAGCAAGTCTTAATCTGTCCCACCAGCCAGCTCCCAAATAAAGATATAGAGACTTATTATTAATTAATGAAAGCTTGAACTTGGGCTTAGGCTTTTTTTAAAAAAACTAGCTCTTGCAACTTAAATTAACCCATATTTTTATTAGTCTATGTTTTTACCTATATCCCATTTGTGTGTCCATCTCATTCCCTGATGCTCTGGTGCCTATATTACTCTCCTACTTCTTATCTCCCTGCCCTGAAGTCCTGTCTATGCTTCTTGCCTAGCTATTCAGCTGTTTATTACACCAATCACAGCAATATATTTTCACACAGTATACAAATATTTCATAACAACAGATTCTATTTCTCTGCACCTTGATAGGCTTTTTAGTGCTTTTTAAGTGATATGGTTGGTTTGTCTGCTTTTCTTCACACAAAGCAGCCTACTCTGCCCCTTCCCCACATAGGACAAGCACACCACCAGCAGCAAGAACACCCACACAAAGCAAAGCAATGCCAATATCCACCTTGCTGTAGAATGAAGCTTGTACATTTGTGGGTGCCATTCTTGGTGTTTAATGTGTTTCATGTTCACAGCCATGGTGAATAGCAGGCACCATTGACTGCTGGTTTACAGGCAGTTGATAAGTGGATACCTTTGAGGTCCTCTACTAGCTTTGCCATGCCCCCATGAATCCTAACTCTGTTTCTCACCCCTTTTCAGCTCCCCCTGGCCAGAACATCCCCAAAGATGGCAGAGGAGGGCAGCAGTACCAGGGACTGTGAGTCTATCAGCGTGCTCAACTGGGATCAGGTTAGCCGGCTGCATGAGGTCCTGACTGAGGTTGTACCCATCCATGGACGAGGCAACTTTCCAACCTTGGAGATAACCCTTAAGGACATCGTCCAGACTGTCCGCAGTCGGCTGGAGGAGGCAGGCATCAAAGTTCAGGATGTCCGACTGAATGGTTCTGCTGCTGGCCATGTTTTGGTCAAAGACAACGGCTTGGGTTGCAAAGATCTGGATCTGATCTTTCATGTGGCTCTTCCCACAGAGGCAGAATTTCAGCTGGTGAGAGATGTAGTTCTGTGTTCCCTTCTGAACTTTCTGCCAGAGGGTGTGAACAAGCTCAAAATCAGCCCGGTCACCCTGAAGGAGGCGTATGTGCAGAAGCTGGTGAAGGTTTGCACAGATGCAGACCGCTGGAGCCTGATTTCCCTCTCCAACAAGAACGGGAGGAATGTGGAGCTCAAGTTTGTTGACTCCATCCGGCGTCAGTTCGAGTTCAGCGTGGACTCCTTCCAGATCATCCTAGACTCTCTGCTTTTGTTCTATGACTGCTCCAGTAATCCCATCTCTGAGCATTTCCACCCCACTGTGATTGGGGAGAGTGTGTACGGGGATTTTGAGGAAGCCTTTGACCATCTTCAGAACAGGCTGATCGCCACCAAGAACCCTGAAGAAATCCGAGGTGGGGGTCTTCTTAAGTACAGCAATCTTCTGGTGCGGGACTTCCGGCCTGCGGACCAGGAGGAAATCAAGACCCTGGAGCGTTACATGTGCTCCAGGTTTTTCATCGACTTCCCAGACATTCTGGAGCAGCAGAGGAAGCTGGAGACCTACCTTCAAAACCACTTCGCCGAAGAAGAAAGAAGCAAGTACGACTACCTCATGATTCTTCGCAGGGTAGTGAACGAAAGCACCGTGTGCCTCATGGGGCACGAGCGCAGGCAGACCCTGAACCTCATCTCTCTCCTGGCCTTGCGAGTGCTGGCAGAACAAAACATCATCCCCAGCGCCACCAATGTCACCTGTTACTACCAGCCAGCCCCTTATGTCAGCGATGGCAACTTCAACAACTATTACATTGCCCACCCTCCAGTCACCTACAGCCAGCCTTATCCTACATGGCTGCCCTGTAACTAACCTTAAGACCTGAGGGTTTCCACAGTGGGAACCCATTTAGGGCAGGGGCTCTCGGGTAGGAGAGCCTCCTCCTAGACGTAGGTGTTTGGCTTTTAAAGGGGAACTCAGCTCTGACTCTGCTTTTCTTTGTGAGCCCATCGGAATAGGTCCACAGACTATCATGAGCCAACCCTAAAAAGGACCCATTACAGTGCCACTCCAGAAGATGCAATAGGAAGTGTGACCTCTCTACATCTTAAGACAGTCACTAACTTGTCACTTCCCAGACATTAGCACATGGGATTTGAACTCTGCACAGTCTCTGAGAGTTGGGCAGCATATGAGAAGCATTAAATTCTCTCTTCTCAGCTAAGCCTAACAGTCCTGTGCAGGCTCTCATTCAGGATTCTCAGCAGTTACATGGAAGCTGTGCTGATAGTCTCTTACTGTGTCCGTTTTAGTCAGCCCCCCCAAACTGGTAAACACGAGGGTGCTCTTTGTGACCAAATTTTCATTCATGGGACTGAGTTGTGTATGTCTAGTCCCTGTCAGCAGAGCTGAGAGTTTCATTCATCAATAAACCAAAGCCAATAGCTGGAGACTTGAGATCTGGTTGGAAGTGGTTTATGGTAGATGCTGGGCTGTATCAAGGAATTATGAGATATTGTGGAATAAAAAAAATGACCTTTTCTTGAAATGTAACTTGAAAACAAAATAAAATGTGGAACATAATGTTAAAAGTAGAATTGTGGTGGTGGTGGGGTGGCGATTGTCAATAGGAAACATGAATGTTTTGTTTTTGTTTTTATTTTCTGTAAGGAGTTCTTATAGAATGACATGTTTTCCCCCCCTTTCATTGACTCTCTGATGACTGACTCTGCTCTTCCTGAGAGTGAGGACTGTGTTGTATTTAGAGTCACTGTCTATCTGACACAAGGTTCTTCCCATGTTTTAATTGGTAGCCCATTTTTGGATATCATTCCCAGTATGACAGCTATTTTGCTGGAGTACATTGACCTTTCTTTTCCAATCCCTACAAAAACAGTGATTGCATTCCCCAGATATTTTTCACAGCAGGAGAATTTGGGAATTCCAGAAGAGAGTAACCAGTGGACCCACTTTTGAAGTTCACTTCCCCTCTCCAAGTTGCAGGGGTGTAGGGGTTTAGTGTTGTCTTGCCTTGTGTGTTCTAGTCACCAAGGCACTTTGCTATCACTCTGCTGTATTTGGGGACGAGCTGAGTGAGTGAAGGATAACCTTTCTTATTGTGTAGATTTGAGCATCGTGTTTATGTTCTGCACTTTAGAAGGAAAACAGTGTTAATTGCTGGCCCAAAGCAAGCAGTCCATGGGGAGAGATCTGGGCAACTGTTGCCTTTACCTAGTAGGTTCAGATGAGAGATTTGAAACTTTCCAGGGGATATTTTAGAATGTATCACTTTAGTATCAAGGGGAAAGACATTCAATATCACCAGCAACCTGGATTTCTAAAGCCATTCCATCAGATCCATGGGTTCAATTTTTACTTTGTCCAGTGACCATAAAAATCCAAAGATCCAAGTGATTGCTTTGTATTTGCTTTAAACAATCTAGTTATCTTCATGCAAAAAGGCTTAGTGCAAATGACATAGCTGACCTTTTTCTAGTGATGTGTTTCCAAGATTCTTCTGGAATGTGCTTTATTGGTCCCCCTAAGAGTTGATTGCAGTGCATCTTCACTGGCCTCCATATTAAGCTAGGTCACCATAAGCCACTTAGTATAACTAGTTTCTGTTGCTCTGTGAATCTTAGTTATGTTTGAATTCACTGGCTTTGCATTCTGTGATGGGGCCCGAGCCAGTTCAGTGTTGAAAGGAAGGTAATGAAAAGCGAACCCAACTTTAAAAACCATCGGTCATCCATGACCTTAAAATGCTGCCATTGTAGTGAAATGAGAATATGTTTGCACAGAAATAGATTTGCTTAATCAGAGTATTTGAAGTGGGTTGGAGCCTCTCTCAATGTAAGCACTTGCTAATAGAAGCAGAAGTCAGGATTGCATCCACTGAGAGGGGTTGGGGACCAGTGGGGCGCTGGAAAAAACATCTGGCTTCTTTTTGGAATTCTTTCTGCTTTATATATATATTTTCCCAGTCTTGTCATAGTCACCTGAGAATGGAGAGAGAGAGACACACAGAAGCTGTAAGCCACACTGTATGATGGCCCTTTTGGTAGTTTCTTTGCCTGCCCAGCTGTTTTGTAGTTTGAGAATTGGTGTGTGTTTTAGAACCACCATGGTAAAAAGTTGCATTGACCAAAGCTCCATTTTTAAGACACAACTCCTGGATTGTCGTCATCTGGACTAGAGGTGTATCCACCTGCTCTGTGACCCTTCTACCAGACCAGAAAGAGGCCAGGAAACCTTACATTTATTTCAGAAGTCAGGAAGTTCTTTCTGGAACCTGCCTTTGGTGCTGCTCGCATATGCACTAGCCACCCTTATTTGTAATGTATCCAGTGACTCCTCTTTGTGTGTGCTGGGTAATGAGAAACTTGGCTTTGGCAGAGGGCACTGAAATGCAAGTGCAGGCTCTAACTGGGTCCACCCTCCCAGTCTGCAGAGTCAGCAGCAGCTGGGTTGAAAACTGTGCCTTCATCGTTGAGTGCACACACATGCACACACACCTGGTCCTTGGCCTTGAGCTTCAGGCTCACCCTCCTCCTTGGCAACAAGATACTGCTCCTAGGTCAGTCATTCTAATGCTGAGATGAAACTCTGGTTACTAACACCTCTAAATCAAATTCCTGGTGACTGCTTATGGACTGAGTCATGGCCTACACCTGGGACCTGGCGGATGAGTGAAGTGGGGTAGGGAATATTTTTGTCTTGGTTCTTGAGTTTTGGGGTTTTTTTTTTTGTTTGTTTGCTTGCTTTTTTTGTTTTTTGTTTTTTTGGCTTTCCAGTGTTTTCCTCCTCCTGTTTGATTTAACTTGGAACTTGTGTCATGGTGATCTCTCTGTGGATCTGCACTTTGTGTTAATGTAGTAATAGTCACCTTGCTAAGCCCACAGTCTGCTCACCTTCTAGCTGACCTGGTGCTGGCCCCTTCATGGTGGTTTAGGATTTTACCCAGTACTGCTTTCGTTTTCGGATGTATCACCACTGAGAACCAACTTTGATCTTTCCTTTAGTTATCTCTCTTGTACTGGTGCCCTGTTTCAGGACACAGCTAGACTTGGCTCAAAAGCTTTAGTCTATACTCTGGGTAAAGTATAGTTATCCAAGCATCCTGATGCCTCCCGGCCTTTACTTCTGAGTGTCTAATGGGGCCCTGCACTGGGGAAAACCCTTGGAGGTGTGATTTTAGAAATTGAAAGATTTCCTAATTTTCAAAGTTGGATTTACATCATTAATCTGAGACAGAATTTCACAATATCACAGCTAATTTTGGAATGTAGCCTAATTTAACCAATTGGATCCAGAGGGGTGAGGAGAGGCTCTTAAAAAGGCCTGGCAACCTCTCAGGATTATTTGTGGAGCTCTCTGAGGAAAGAAAATTACATTTTTTTTTTTTTTTTGTGAATTCAAGTGCCTTCATCTTGTTTACCTATCACTTAAAAAAAAAAAAAACTTTAAGTATAAGCTTAAAGCGTTCTGGAGTTTTACCTGGGCTATTGAGATTTGGTGCAAATTCTCATGTGTGTGTGTGTGTAGGAAGGTGAGGTGACCATCCACTAAAGAGGAAGGAACTGATTAACATGATTTGGGGTCTTCTTTAAAAGAGAATACAGCTACCTGGCCTTTTTGAGTATTCGTGAAAACTTGATTTTCCTGAAGCATCTATTTATTTCCAAATTAACATGGATAAAGACAAAAATGCCCAGTGGACTCCATTGGAAGCTCTTATTTCTGTATTTGTATAGGCTGAAGTATCCTTAGCAGTGTCTAGAGGTACGGGCTTCCTCCTTGGTACTGGTCACTCACCTTCTTACTTGATGCAGATGAGATTTCTTATCAGTGCAAATGTATTAGAACTTGATGAAATAAAGCTTTGAGTTTGAGAAATAAAGGTATATTTAAAAGTGTAAAAAAAACCCAACTTGTCAGTTATGCTCCTTGCTTCCCACCCCCCTCTCCCAATTTGGTCTTGGGTGGTAAACTTTTGGTTTTAAGAAACACGGGGATGAAGAGTCTATTACTACTGTCAACTTTGGCAGTACCATGTCAGCTACTGTGGTGTGTTTGTGTGTGTGTGTGTGTGTGTGTGTGTGTGTGTGTGTTTACCCTGAAGGCTCTAAATTCCTTTTCCAAGGTGCCTGCCTAACTGAGGTGGATCTTTATTGCAGACTTGAAGCCAGTGGCTAATCCCTCCTATAGGTAATGTCTTTCCTTACTTGTTTTAATTCAAATGGGGATTGACCTTCAGTCTCAGGCATACCAGACAAGCATTTACCTATGATCTACCCTCCTAGTCTCACAGTGTTTTAAAATAGTATTGCTTCACCAGAACCTGGGTTTATCTAGTGACCATGGTTCTATGACCATTACAGTAAGAGACCCCAAATAACTATGCATCCTAACTAATTGATTTCATCATTTCACTTTATGAAATAACTATATGAAAAACGGATGTGGCTGATAGATATTTAAAGGGCATAAATAGTTCTGTTCCAGGGTGTCCAATCTTTTGACTTGTGACATGACATTGTCTTCTACATTCATAGCTATGCTGGGATGCATGTGGTCTCTGGGCTACAGGTTGGACACTTCCTAATGCCTTTAGTCCCATCTCCAGTTCTCCAGATCTGCATCTTTTCCCCTTATCCTGTGCTTTAGAAGGCTTCCCTTCTTTGATTTATTTTTTAACTCTTAACATCTTAGCCAAAAACAAGTGTTTCCCATGCCTTACCTTGTTGGCCCTCCCCATTTGTGCTGCCCATCCTTCTAGAACACTCCTTTACTCTGGCTCTCGGTAGAACAGGGTGCCGTGTTCCTGTTATCCATTAAAAGTACCTAGGAATGTAAGTGGATGCTGAATCCAGCCCTGCAACGTTAGTACTTTGCAGCTAGCCCTAGTCTTCCCGTTTCACCTAATCTACTTCTGTTTTCAGAGACCATAGCCCTTTCCCTTGCGCCCTATTACACAGATGGCTTCTAAAAATTCAGCTAAGTGTGAGTCCTTGACCCACTTCCTCTGGCTTACCAGGTACCAGTCCCTGATACCTCCCCCTTCCTGTGTTCCTACTAGTGTCCTTTACTTGCTTACGTCAGTTCTTCATCTACATAGTGGACACCAGTGTGGTGTCTCTTGTTCTCCTTTGCTCTCCTCCCACACAACTGGCAAAGGTTTAATGCTTCAGATGTTGAATGAGGTGTTTTTGTCCCTGGAGGACTGGGACTCGGGCCACTAGCAGCCAGAAGGCTGAATCCTGGATATTTCCCTGTATGTGTTGTAATGCCTCATTCTGATGCCAGAAACATTTGACTCCAGGCTTTGTCTGGACCAATATTTACATGAAGAGTAACTCGTGTGTGTGTGAAATGGTGGAATGCAGGTCTCCAGAATGAGTTGACAGGCCCTGACTCTGTGATGCCCATCATGAGCACTTGACCTAATGAAGACCATTACTTAGTCTCCCCACCCCTTTTAGTAGAACCTGTGCTTCCCTTGCAAGTGTCACTTCCTCCACACAGGAGTGAGGCTCCTCTTGTCATCCAGTATCTAGGATTACAGAAACATGCTTGCCAACTTCTCTGTCCAAGGAGCCGTTGGGTGACGAAGGTAGGACAGCAGCATTACTTGGTTGTAATGGAGGATTACTGTCTATGGAAAATGCTAACAACATTGGCAAGACCTGAGAGGACTTAGTACAGCAAAGGCCAGTGCTTGACAATAATGACATTTCTCCAGCCAACTCATCTGGTGAGTGACTGCAGCTCCAAACATACTTATGGAAGGCCGAGACAGAGGAATGTTAGGGGTTAGGTCTAGATTGAGATGTTAAGAGGAGCCTAACGCCACCATGGTAATCGATCCTCTCTCATTCCACAAGAGTCTGAGGAGGGGTTTGTGAGACCCGAGTGACCACCTAACTCTTTAAGTGATCACAGTAGAGCTGGGGCTATAGTGGTGGTTCCTACCTCCTGCCCCACGTGGTCCCTACAGTGGGACCTCAGGGATAAATGCTCTCTAGAAATTCGCTGCACTGGCAGATGAACCACACAGAGATCAGCCTCTTGACTGGGCATTCCTTTCTTGGATTTCTGTGAGCGGTGCCAAAAGATCTGAGGCAGCTGGGCTGTGTCAGCAGGATTGGTTTTATGCTGTTCCTGACCTAGTTCACCAGGCTTACCTCTTCTGGGTCTAGCTAGATCAAGCGTTTCTCAATCCCCAGGGAATTTCCCCCAAAGCGGCCCTTCTGATTTCAGTGTAGGGAGTTTCTCCAAAGGGACCTTAGAGCAAGGATCACCTGCATTGTTTGAGAAACTTGGGTGGGAAGGGTGTGTGTGTGTGTGTGTGTGTGTGTGTGTGTGTGTGTGTAGGAGAACGCTAAGGTTGGTCTAGACAGTTTATTCCATCCCTTCAACATGGATAGTTCATGAGGCTTTACCTTAAGAGGTCTGTTGGAAACTAAAGCCATGAGGAAATAGAATCCCTCCTTGACCAGGGTCTTATGTAACAGGAAGACCCAGAGACTGATATTGGGGTTCAAGCTTCAAGCTGAAGTTCAGAAAAGCAAAGTAGCTGGCCACTAGCTCTCACCTCTAGCTCAGGCTAAAAGGGCTGATCCACGAGCTCTTCACCAAGCCTCAAACTGCTGCCTCTTCTCAGTGTGCTGGAGAATGAATGGCTCCTACTGACTACTGAAGACCCTGCTCCTATCTTTTATACCCCTCTAGTGCTGGAATTAAAGGTGTGTGATCTGGCACTCTTTTTAGACTGATTCAATTTCATGTATCCCTGGCGGCCTTGAACTCAGAGAGATCCCATCTACCTGAGTCCTAGGATTAAAGGTGAGTACCACCACCACCTAGTTTCTGGATCCTGGGATTAAAGGTGTGTGCCTGGTTTCTATGGTTTTAGTCTGACTTTGCTTTCTGAATCCTCAGGCAAGCTTTAATAAATCATAAATAACATATCACCACAGTCTTAGGGTTCTCTGAGTACATGTCTTGTATGTATTAACTTGAAGGTTTCAAAACCTGAGACAGATGGCCATATTCCCATTGCATAGAGGAGGTGCCCACAAAAATCTGTCTGCAAGGCCCTAGTCTCCCCTACTACTGCTGTCTTAAAGTCCCTCCATAAATCCTAGACTGCACACAAATGCTCCTTATACCAGCCCCTCTCCAGGCTTGAAGTGTTGAGTTGCCTGGTAATAGATCTGTTTCCACTTAGGCATGAAGGAATTCCTCTGACAGGCCAGCAGCTATTCCCAGACAACTGTCCCTTTGTGAATCATGTTGGGGCACCTACTGAAGGCTGATATGTTTGGGGAACAGTCATTGGGTTCCAGGCCTTGTGTTAACCTTAGCATTGATCTCCCTCCCAAGAACTCTGAGACAGATCAACTATGTACAGATGAGACCAAAAAGCAAGATGGATGCTAGGGTTGACTTTGGGGCTGGGCCTTTTAGTCCTTCCACAGTATGTTGTGTATCCACCCTGTGTTCCACAGGGAGGCAGGTGGAAGACACACCTACCATCTAGCAGGAGCATTTGAGAGGAATAGGGAAGAGGACAAAGCAACTGATTGAACTGTTTATTAGAAACAGAAGTTAAGAGTGTTGAGACGGCTCAGCTGGTAAAAGTGCTTGTTGCCAAGCCTGTCGACTTAAGTTCCATTCCCGAGATCCACCTGTTGCAAGAAGAGAAGCAACTCCTTCTGTAGGTTGCCCTCTGACCTCCACATACGCACTGTGGCACACCCACCCACTCATATGCACACAGTGTAATAAGTAACACAATAATAGACATTTTAAATAGCATTTATTTATGGTGTCTGTGCCCGCACATGGGCACATGTATGAATGCAGGAAGTTATGAGACTACTTGTGGGAGCTGGTTATTCTATCATATGGGTCCTACGGGTCAAACTCAGGTCATCAGTCTTGGTGGCAGGTGCCTTTACCCAACGATCCATCTCACAGCACCCCTCACTGCCCAACATTTGTTTTAATAGAAAAATTAAGACAACTAACTCACTTCAAACCAAACCAAACCAGGATTCCTATTGTGTAAGGCATGAAGTTTTAAACTAGAATTGGGGCACAAACACCCTCCCCCCTCCATTCTCTTAACCACCGGTACTTAGATTTCCTGTAGGCTGGAGGACAGGTGTGTGTGTGTGTTGGGGGTGGTGGTGATGGTGGTGGTGAGGTGTCTGCAGCTGTCAGAAACCAGCTTACCCACACTAGAACAGTGAAACGGAGAAGGGAGGGCTTTCTGAAAACGCAGAACCCAGAGCAGTGCCTGGAATCAAACACCTGTGGATTTTCATGCACTAAATATAGTGGAAGTTGACTGTCTTATCGGTAAGTAAACATCACAGCAGGGCAGAGCTGCTGTGGGAACAATCTTTACATTGGCTCCTGTGGGAAACAGTGCTGGGCTCACTCACTCCTGCTGCTTCAGCTTCCCTCAGGTTCCCTGCGGTCCTTGCCTGGTCTCAGGTCAGTTGCATGTACCTGTTTGTCCCGTGCCTAGCGTCCCCTCCCCCAACATTCAGATCAGTTTTCCTGGCCTGCAGGAAGTGCCAGAAGTGCCCCCCTCCCCCGCGCCACCCACCTCCAACTTTTCAGCAGGATTATTTTCCATTATTACTGCAAGGAAAATGAGTCTTTGAGTTTTGGATGCTGCTGAATCAGGCACGGCCCCTCCCCCCAGGTCAGGAATGTTAAACCCGAGGCTCCCTGCTGCAGATGGCTGCTCTGTGCCCCCAGGGACACTATTCTCTGAGTGCCAGGCAGTACCCAGCTGGGTGAAAGAGAAAGCAGGTGAGAGCCCTTTCAAGGGAGGCAGGGAGACAACCAGAGGAGCTTTGCAGCCTGCCACTCAATCCCAGCATGCTCCTCGGCTCTCCCCCT